TTACGTTGGGCCAGGCTGTTTCAGAAAGACAAAGAGCACCCTAATTGTTCAGTCGGTTTTCAAAACCCAGAGACACAAAGCCAAACGGAGCTCTTTGTACCATAGGCCTGCAGGCTCTTCTCCTCCCTGGGGCTCTCTTGGCTCCACCCACGTGACCCCTTAAGCTGCAGTCTTGTTCCAAAGCCCCGGGGGTCCCCTGGCAGGTCTGCCTCTGCTCCGGAGAACTGGGGAACACCGGGAGCCTGGGAGGGCCTCTCGGCAGCCCTCCTCTGGAAACCTTCCCCAAACTCCGTCTAGCCTCGTATGTTGTTGTTGTTATGTGCCGTCGAGTCGAACCGACTCATGGTGACCCCTCCTTGGGCTTCCGAGGCAGTATCACTACGGAAGTAGATTGCCCCATCTTCCTTCCGAGAGTGGCCGGTGGGTTTGAACCGCCAGTCGTATGGTTAGCAGTCAAGTGCCTTAGGCACTATGCAACCAGAGCTCCTAGCCTCACATGGGGACCAGTTAGTTTGTGCACTTGCCTCCTTGGGACAGCCCCAGGAGGGGAGGGGACACGGGCCTCACTGCCACGCTGGGAGAGGGGTGCTTGTTCTCCCATTTTAAAGATGAGGCTCCGTGGGGTAATGATGAACCCTCAGCTGGCAGAGATCAGCCGGTGGCAGAGGCCTGGAGGCATCGGTCAGTTGGACACCCGGTGGGCAGCTCAGTAATGTTTGTGGAAGATGGGTATGAGGATGGAGAAGGAGGCAGAGCAGCTGGCGGGTGAGGCCTCGGGCAGAACGGATGCCGGCACCCCAGACACTTCAGGGGCAGAAGGCTGTTGGGGAAGGCAGGCCACACAGTCAAGGTATCCGGCTGCGGGGGAGGGGCAGCTGGAACGAGGCGGGGCCTTAAGGAGGAGCCCGGGAGGATTCCCTGGCTCACTCCCACTGGTCACTCAGATTTCCTTTTCTCATTCCACATGCACGGATTGCATGCCTTCCGTCACTGCCAGGCACTAGGGGCAGGACACGGGTAAAAGAGCCTCCATGCCAGGCACTGCCTGGGCCAGGGAACCCTGACTCTAACGGGGCAGACAGACAATTAAAAGGGCACTGCGTAATTCCAACTGTAACTCCAGTGAGAGGAGCTCCGAAAAGTGTGAGGGGTGACCAGGGAGGCGGCCGCAAGCGTCTCTGGGAGGAGTGGCCTTTGAGTAGGGACCTGGCAGTGGAGAGAGTCCCTGGCCCTGCAAGGCACTGAGGATGAGGGTGTTGGGGAAAATTTTCTAAAAACAAAACCTCCTCTAAACCCAGAAAACCTCTGCACAACAACCAAGAGCTGTACTATTGAATAAGCATGAACCCAGAACAGGACGCCACAGGCACTCCAGGGGCTGAAGAGATTGCAAGACAGAGAGCAATCTTATCCTTTACCGAGCTGAGTGGATACAAGCCACAGCAATCAGGGTGAAATTGCTAATTTTGCAGTATCTTTAGGTCAGATCTCAAGTTATGCTAATCTCCTTCCAGGAAGCTGAGAGCTAGGGGTGTGAATTTCCATGATGATTACACGGTCAAAGGAGATGCTCCCAGGTCCCTGGGAAACACCCTGGATTTACACACTTTCCCGAAAGACCAAGAGAGATCCTACCGTGAAGTTATCTGTGAATTCTGAAAGAGCAGGGGAGCCTCTCGCCCTATTTTCACCGGGGAGAATTAAAACCTCTTGTTTTCAGTTTGTATCGGTCCTCAGAGAGGGCAAGGGTAGGAGCGCATTCTAGGCCGAGGGAATGCACGTGCAAAGTCGAGCTGTCCACAAGTTCGGGGAGGCGCAGGGGTGTCCGCGTGTTTTGAGTGAGGAAAGCCGAGAAAAGGGCCCGGCAGGGGGCAGAGGGACGAGAGGGGCTCAGGGACCACCTCCTCCGGGAAGTCGTCTCCGACTCCCTCGCTTCCTCTGCGCTACCCCGCCGCTCAGCTTCTTCCCAGCTTCCGAGGGCCTCCCGCCCAGCTTTGGCATCCTTCCTCACCCAGACTGCGAGACCCGAGAGGGCAGGGCCAGCTGGGATTCCTTTCTCCTCATCCCCCCGGCGTCCAGCCGGGCGCTGGGCACCCCGTGGGCACTCGGTCAATATTTGTGGAGCGCACTAGCCCGACTGAAAGAACCCATTGGGCGCAGCAGGGGGGGAGGGCGGGGCCGAGGCAGGTGGGAGGCCGCCGGCGCGGGAGGGGCCCCTGGAAGCCCGCCCTCCTCCTCCTCCTCCTCCTCCTCCTCCTCCTCCTCTTTGCAGGCCCCAGTGCGTACTCTCTGGGGCTCCCGAGAGATCAAGGGCGCGCAGGGGCGAGAGGGCTAGCCGGGCCCCTGCTCTCGGCTCCGGAGGTCGGAAGCGAGTAGGTTGCAGCCTCCCGAGGGGAGAGCGCTCTCGAGTGGAGCGGGAAGGAGCGCCCGCCCGCCGCCTCCCTGGCGGTAGCTCTCCTGGCTCCCAGGATTGCGGGCTGCTCCTCCCACCCGCTCCAGCCTCCTCGGTCGCTCACTCGCTCCCGCCGGTCTCCAAGCCCGGCCGTGCGCCCAGCGACTGCAGATCGAGGGGCCCCGGCGCCAGCCTGAGCCGGGGCAGGGGTCCCCGCAGCGCGCAGCCAGCCGGGGAGGGGCCATGTCCCGCGCGGGCACAACGGGGCCGGTCTGCGGCAAGTGACTGAGCGGCGTGGACGCCGCTGCCCCCCTCCGCCACCTGGGGCGGCGCGGGCCCCAGCGCCCGGAGCCCAGTGCCCGGGCGGAGCGGAGAGCCGGCGCGATGCACGTGCACTCACTGCGCGCCGCGGCGCCCCCCAACTTCGTGGCGCTCTGGGTGCCTCTGCTCCTGCTGCGCGCCGCCCTGGCCGACTTCAGCCTGGACAACGAGGTGCATTCGAGTTTCATCCACCGGCGCCTCCGCAGCCAGGAGCGGCGTGAGATGCAACGGGAGATCCTCTCCATCTTGGGCTTGCCTCATCGCCCGCGCCCCCACCTCCAGGGCAAGCACAATGCTGCGCCCATGTTCATGTTGGACCTGTACAACGCCATGGCGGTGGAGGAGGCCGGCGGGCCCGACGGCCAGGGCTTCTCCTACCCCTACAAGGCCGTCTTCAGCACCCAGGGTCCCCCTCTGGCCAGCCTGCAAGATAGCCACTTCCTCACCGACGCAGACATGGTCATGAGCTTCGTCAACCTTGGTGAGTGAGGGCAAGAGGGGGGACACCCGGTCCTCGGCCGAGGTGGGGCCGCCTTGCAACAGGGATGGGGTCACTTACATCCAGCCCTCCACCTTTCCACTGAGCCGCTGGCGTAGCCATCAGTGACTGCCTGAGGACTTCCCTCCTCCGGCCCCAGTGGACCCCAAGTTGTGCTCGCTCCCAGGTAGCAGGAGGCAGGCTCAGCTGGCCTGTGGGTATTGCTGGGAGGGAGGCACCCACCCGGACCCCACTCCGGGTTACGCCGCCGGCCACACCTCTGGGGCGGCAGGCGCCAGCCGGGGTCGTGGCTCTCAGTTCAAAGCGCGGGACTTGGTCATGTGAGCTGTCTCTGGCCGGCGCGGCTCTCGCTACCTGCATTTTAAAGGGCCCTTCTCGGAGGAGCTGTCTTCCCTCCAGTCCTCGGTTCCGCTAACCACGCCTGGCCCAGGCCTCCCGGACAGCGCGCCCCAGTCCCCGCCCTGGCAAGCCCTACCTGTTGCCTTGCGTTGCGCCCGCCGAGCGCCCCCGGCGCCTCTGGGCCCCTTTCCCTGCCTCCAGCGCCCCCCCTCTCTCTGGGTCTACTTGCCGGAGCCAGGGAAGAAACATTGCCATTGCGAAGTTTCTATTTTAAATATTTAATGATAGGTCCCGGGCGGGCAGAATCCATTTTCAGCGTTTATCACGTGTGGCGCACAAACCACGGGTTTTGGCGATTGGGCGGCCAGGGATCTCCGAGGAGACGCCGCCGGGGGCCGGTCCCGGGGCCGGAGCCGGAGGCTGCGGCGGGGCCCCGGGGCGCCCTGCCATCGCGTCCGCGCACGTTCCCCAAACTGGCTTAAACCTACCCCTGCCGCGCGTTGTGGGGCAGATCATCCAATACCGGTTTCCGTGATAACGCGCAGCGATAGCGCGGCTTCCTCAGCCGCTCGATTCTACCTGCGGACGGCGCAGCCAGTATCCCAGCCAAGACCCCAACCTCCGGCCACGGCGTAGGTCAGCCTGGAAATAATGACCCTAAAACCCCACGCTGGGCACACGGGGAGCGTCGTGAAGGCTTCCCGGAGCAGATAAAGTCGGCAGGGTCCCCGGGACGCCATTGTCCACCCTAAAAGCCAAATGCGCTTCAGCGCCCAAGGGGGGGGGGGACGCGTCGCTGCGGCAGCCTGTTAGGAGCCAGGCAGCTCTCTAAGCTTCGATTTAGAGCAACCTCCTAGAAGTGCGGGGTGAACAACAGAGGTACAGACCAGTGCGCCTACATGGACCCTGGTGCATCAAGTTCGGGAAGTGGCAATAGATTTTACCGGGCTGGGGGGCCGGGGGCGCGGCGGAACTGGGGGTGGGAGGAGGGTCGGATTTTCCAGTATCTGCGCTTCTATCTACCTTTTTTTTCTTGCTATGTATGTGCTTCGTTGCCTATACAAAAAAGAAAAAAGTTCTAAAAATAAGTAGGAATCAACAGAAGTGACGTTCCACCTTAGCAGTCCTGAAGCCGGGTTAACCCGGGCCCTTTCTGGCAGATATTTATGGCTTCTGCTGTTGGTTGGGGATCGGGAGTTCAGAATCAATGCAACAGGTCCCAGCCGCTGGCCTTCAGAGCCCTGCTGGGGTCCTTACGGAGACATTTGGAAGCCCTGGCTTCTGTAGACAGCTCTGGAAACCCTGCAAGAGGCACTTGATGCTTAACCACTGGCCGCTTGGCGGGATCCCGGCCCCCACCCCAGGGCGGGGCGGGCTGCTCACTGGAGCCTCTGGGGCCCCGGGGGTGGGGGTGGGTGGTGGGAGCAGGCCGGGACTAGCCTGGGAAGGCCACAGCTGGGTGGTTTCCTCTGGCGGTACACACACCTTTCAACCCCGCTAGGCCTATGTCTTTCATCTTGAAAGGACAAAGCCTGGCTTGTCTGAGGCTCTCAATCAGCTGGGCTGGCTTTGGGCTCTGGGACAGCCCTGCCTGACTTCCTCAGGTCTAGCTTTCTGGAACGTTTCTCCAAATTAGATGGCGGAGTCGGTTTAACAGGGCACACAAAGCATGTTTTTCTTTGTCTCTCTCTCCCTCTGGCTTTTCCTAAACTGAAGGTAATTAGTCAGGTGACGGCCTGGACTAGAGTTTGCAGGAACCTTCTTGTAGATGCTTCTACGGTTGGCCTTGAATTTCTGCTCAGCCACAGCCCGGGGGTAAAATGGCAGGTCCCATCTGTTCTGCCTTGAGGGGGACAGTGGTGTTGCAGAAGGCCTGGGGGAGCGGTGTAGAGGGTGGGGTGGGATAGGGCATACATCCTGAACTGAGTTTGCTGAGCGCGCACACAGTTTTCCCTGGGATTGCAAACCCTAATACGTAGTTTTCTGTAGGTGAGTTTTTTCACACTTTGCCCAAGAGCAACAAAACGTCACTTGTTGCTTGTTATTGTCTGGGGCGACTTTGGGAGCCTGGCTGGAGCCCCTGGGGGACGGCTGGCCCCGCTGCCCCTCCAGCACACGGGGCTGCTGTCCTGCCTTGCTTGCCTCCGCGTGTGCGCGGGGACCACTGTCTGGATGCTGACGGCTTTTGCAGACCTGCGCAGTAATTCTGCCTTCTTGCAGCCAGACTGGTTTTCATTCCTGTAACTTGTGCTCCTCGGAATCCAAGCTTTTTGCCAGGGTGAGTGGGAATCTAAAGGAGAGGGGAATTTACGACAAAACCAGCCACTGGGAACAGGACTTCAGAAGACACATTATGACAAAGACCAGTCTGGACCTTAAAGCGCTTCACACCAGCTTAGTGGCCGGTCCCCTGAAGTTCAATGGCAAATTTGTAAACCTGTTTGGATTACCAAGTCCCCCACTCCTGCAGACTTCAAGACTCCAGGGCACTGGTGATTCTTCCCACGGACTCCACTGACTGGGCCCTCACCTTGCTTTTCTTTGGGAAAATCCAGCTGCTTAGCCTGGATTTTCTCTAGAAGCCACTGGCAGGAGGGATCTGCGGTTAGTGTCTCCCTGGTCCAGGTTATGAAGGAACCCCAAATCAGTTTAATCTTCGAAGGAACTTAAAAGAGAGAGAGAGAGAGTTGGAAGTCCGGAATCCCTCCGTATTGGAGGCAGCGGATAAAAGTGGCTTTTGTTTCTGTAAGCCGGAGCGTGGGGAGAAGGCCGCGCAGCTCGAGTTTTACTTTATACCATCTGGCTCTCCTTTTTGTTGACAAGTGTTTGGCATTAAGATCTCTTCTTGTGCCCCTTCAGTGCAGGCCCTACCACTGTAGAGTATTAGAAAAAGATTCTGTTACAGTTTAAAAATTTCCTTCAGGGAGTGCTTCGGAAGGGAGCACGGGCTGCAGGCGTTTGCAGCTGTAACCTGGCTTGTGTTAAAATTTGGAAGGGCCGCCCCACATTCCAGCACTCGCGCGCCGGCCCTCCCTGGTAAGCGGCCAAAGGTTAATATAAATGTCACCCACGCTCCCCATTCTTTCTTTTCTTTCTGCAGCGTGCCTTCGCTATAGGAGTGCACCGACAGCTGTGTTTTTAGTAACCCTTTCACCGTCACTTCTTTTAAATCTCATTTTCCTGCTTATATAAATCAAAGATCCCCCCCCTTTCCTCAAGGATGTGTGACCCAGATTTGAACTTTCTTGATCTTCCATGTATTTCCTTCTGGAATAAAAGCAGGTTGCTTCGGAGCCCCGGATGCCAGCTTAGGGTGATTCCAGGACTGTCATTCGGCTGCGGGGTGGACCCCGTCGACGGGCAGGGGGAGGTGGCCTGGGGGAATTCGGTTCCAGGGCAGCAGAGGGGATAGCACCAAAGGGAAGATGTGGTTCTGTGCCTCGGTGCTGGCGAGCTGTGGGGCCTTGTGCGCAGTCGGCAACACGCCTTTGGTGACACACACAGCTGGTACGCCATCCACATCCCAGAATGCCTGTGATGTGAGCGAATATCACATGTCCCTGCACTTGCAGACAAGTGGTGACTTCATTCCAGGGAGAGTCCTATCTAAGTTGATGGATCGCCCCGATCACTTTAATGTCTCCCCCCCCCCCTTTCGGGTAAGGTCATATTTGGCCCGTTACAAATATCAGTGTCCTAACGCTCCCCTCGCCACCCCGCCCTTCCCCGCCTGCCCACCCATTTCACCAGCTGCGGATTCCGAGTCGAGAAGCCCTTTGCACCGTGTTGCCGGCCACAGTCATTTCTCAGCGATCGCTCAGACCTGTGTGGGGGCTGTCGACACGCTCGTTTTTGGCAGCCCTCGTGTGCTCTGCTGGTGTCACTGGGGCGAGGGCGGCCAAGGCAGGGAAGTGTGGAACCTGTCTTGTTATTGTCAGAAGGAATGCGGGGATTAGTCTTTGAAAAGGGCTGGTGGGAGAGCCTGCAGCTGTGCACACTTACTCTAGAGGATTTAAGTCCCACTGGTAAAATCAATAGATTGAGTTGCACGACCCTCTGCTTTTAATTAGTTTAAATCAAATGTGCTGGGGCTATTTCGCCTCCTCTCGCCTTCATGGGGTGAGGAAATCCCAATATTTACATAGAAACTGTTAATTTGTGGCAAAAATGATAACACATTTAGCTTCACACCCTTAAATCGCTCCAACTTGATGGATCCCAGATCAACGGGATGTCGAGGGGTGACTTCACCAGGGAGAAGGGGGCAGAGGGGTGACTGACACTGGCGGTGATGTCTGCTTCGCGCTCTAGCTGCCAGGGCGCAGGTGGGTCTGTCTGCGGCCTCAGTGCCCGAGGATGGTATGATGATGACTCCTCCCACTGCCAGTCAGAAATACTGCGATTCACCCCCATCACTTCCAGTCCTTTCTTGAACATTCCGAAAATACTGTTAAGCAGGAACTTGCCTTTTGGATGGTCTCTCCCCTGGGTCCTGTGCGCTGGATGGCTCAGGCACAGAGCTTTATTTATTACAGACCTTCAAATGCTTTTCTTTCCAATTCCTGAAACAGTTTACAGGGGAAGGGGGGTGCCTCCTTAACTGCAAATGATCCCGGCTGGGTCCGGCTACGGCGGTTAGGCGC